GTATTTAACTTTACTTTCTACCAGCAATTATTTTGACAGAACAGGTGGAACATTTTTCTCATGATGAAATGAGACTCCTCAGACATTCCCATGGTCATGCAGGGACTTTTTGGGGCTGATCCAGATGCCTCACGCTGGGCCAGCCGTCTCCAGCCGAGCTGTGAACCGCAGGTGAAAGTCGCAGGAAACAGGTGCCTCCTCCTCCCACCAGGGTGAACAGAATAGCAGACTGAGCATCAGTTACACCAATCGCTGTCTATCAGAGTGGAACCCGTATTGATTAACAAGGCTGATAGACTCGGCGGCCCCAGCCACCAACTGTCGACTACGCCTCCCGCCTTCTGTGTGCAACGGCGATAGTGGGTTTAGGGTTACGAGCTGGCCCCCTGCATACCAAATTTAAAGGGGTGGAAATGGAATTACTGCATCTGTTTGGAAGTCAATTTCTGCATTCTCCGGGCTACCACTCCTCTATCTAACATCCCGTCTTGCCCCCCCCCTGATTCTCCCAGGGCTCTCAAAGTTCATGACGCCAAAGAAAAAGGCGAGGGGGGGGGGGGTTCTCACAGAGTTACTGAGGCGTGCTGTGAAACCCAGAAATGTTTGTCTTTGTAACCTCCTCATGGGAAGTTTGGCCTTGTGATACTCTCAAACTATCCTTCCTGTAACATCACATGCTAAATTTCAGTTGATTAACACTGGCTTGTGCCATTATGGTGACACACAGCTCAAAATAATACCTCTCTTGCTGCCTAAAATAGCATTTTACAGAAGTTACAGTTATTACAGTTCAAGCACAAACCTTTAAACAAAACAGAATTAAACCAAAAAAGCAAACACATTAGATCAAAAAAGAAATATAAGCTAAAAGCTTGAGTAGTTTTTTGAAAATGTCAATTGCAATCTATGATCTAATGGTAAGAGGTTACCTATATACACTGGGGACACTCCGGACACACTGGTCAGCTAATGTGACAGATTGTAAGGGCAACACAGACCAGCGCCAGTCCAAACCACAGCACAACTTTGATGGTTTCGTGATGAATGTCATTGTGGGATGATGTACGTCAACTCATCAGGATACTGTCCTATTTCCAAATGTTGGAACACCCACTATCCAAAAAAGCAGTTTTAATTACATTCTCTGACCTGCTACCGCACCTTGACTTCATCCTCTCATGTTTCGGTGTATGCATCTGGCATTAAATGATGTGATGCTGACTGCTAGAAGTGCCACCATCCTCCTATCTTTCCCTAATGGCAGCTGCTCTGCTGGAAGTTAATGGAAGGAAGGAGAGACGTTTGCTTCATCCAACTTGTCGCACAATTTTGTACCACTTCAAAAACAGATGCAAGCCAGAGAAGGAAATTAAGCCCTCAAGAGGTTTTAGCAGCTATATTTCAAACTCGCCAAATGTATTCCTGTGCAGATTCTTAAACAGAGTGAATGACATTGCTTTAGATACAATCACCTTAACACATCAAAATAAGTCTTGATTTCCCACAGTCGCCATTAACCAACCTGACCCAGTTTCATTGAACCCCACAACTCCTCCTGAATATCTTTCTGAAGCAGGCAATTAAATAAATACTTAAATAAAGTGTCGCCTCAGTCCCCAGGGTAATTTAGTTGATTTAGAACTTCATGTGTGTATCGTAGAAGAGGCCTGAGTGTAATTAGATCTGATATATAACTTCAAGATAAGACGTGGAGGCCCCCTTGACTTCTGAAGATGTTTACTTTGCTTAAGTTTGGACGCAGTCTTTCAGACGCCACCCTTGATCTCGGAGGGAACGTTGCTGTCACCGAGTTCTCACTGGACGGATAAATAATCAGTGTATAA